TTTTCACCATGTTGGCCAGGCTGGTCTTGAACTCCTGACAGGTGATCTGCCCACCTCGGCCTCCCAAAGTGCTGGGATTACAGGGGTAAGCCACCACACCTGGCCTTGTGTTCCATTTTGAGATAAACTTGCCTGGGGGAGGCAGTTCAGATGACATAAAATTGATTAGTAACGTGCTTGCATAGCTGGTACTAAGGATTCTGAATCCTTCCCAATGAGACAGACACCAGACCTCACCATATGATGTTTTTTTGGGAGAAAATAATGCACCCGCTAGGGATGAAAATGTTTCTTAATGTCTAGTACAGTTTTTGCACGTGTAGGTATACATACACATGCATGTACATACACATGCAAAAATTGTACTAGCAGGCATTACTCCAACTGTTTCGTTTCTTGAGATGCACTCCAAAAAACAGTATAGGATATATCTCCTTGAGCAGTGATGCTGTGGAGAGGTGATATGGGTCACTGTTCTTTGAACTTGCACACATACTTTACCAGGAACTCGGCATAAAGACTTGGGGTCAGTTTTATGAAGTACACCGGTTTGGAAGCATTTGAAGAGGTTTGCTTTTTCTATTCTTTGTTCTGGATTCACTCTAGCTGTAACGTGATCAGCACCCACTCTCCTGTGCAGTCAGCAGGTGTTCTGGGACAAAAGCTCAGGTTGACTGGAAAGAAACCTTATCCTTAAAGGTTGAGTCACAGAGTACTTTACTGCAATTGCTGTTAGACTGGAGTGATCCTGAGATGTGTTTGGCATAACTTGGCATCTGGACTCAGTAATTTCTAAGACCTTGAAATTGGCTCACAGACAACATGCAGGTACGTTTTTTATAATCTTTGAAGCATTTGATACCTAGTAAAATAGGCTTTGAGGAAGCTGAAATTTTTTCTATGTGTAAATGAGAAAATGGAAAGGAGTTCAGATTATAATTGCTGGGGTTTTCTATTTCATTGTTTTTTTCACTGTTTAAAGGACATGGGGGCTGGGTGCAGTGGCTCACACCTGTAATCCCAGCACTTTGGGAGGCTGAGGTGGGTGGATCACCTGAGGTCAGGAGTTCAAGACCAGCCTGGCCAACATCTCTACTGAAAACACAAAAATTAGCCGGGCATGCCTGTAATCCCAGCTACTCAGGAGGCTGAGGCAGGAGAATTGCCTGAACCCAGGAGGCGGAGGTTGCGGTGAGCCGAGATCGCACCATTGCACTCCAGCCTGGGTAACAAGAGCGAAACTCCGTCTCAAAAAAAAAAAAAAAAGAAGAAGAGAATCACTTGAACCTAAGAGACAGAGGTTGCATGAGCCAAGATTGTGCCACTACACTCCAGCCTGGGCCACAGAGTGAGATTCTGTCTCAAAAATAAATAAATAAATAAAATAAAGAACATGGATAAGTAAAGATAGGAGTTGTGATTCTCCAATGGATAAGAGTCAGCTTTTGGGCCAGATGTGGTGGCTCACATCTGTAATCCCAGC